TGACTAGACACCATGGACCACCAGAAGCATGGGGAGCGCAGTGGCTTCATAAAATACATACTGGACTGTGAACCACTAGGTTGGTGGTTTAAGCCCACCAGCAGATCCATGGGAGAAAGATGAGACTTTCTGCTCCCACAAACATTAAAAGCCTTGGAAACCCTATATCATTATGAGGTAGAACCAACTAGAAGACACTTAGCAACAACTACAGCCAGAAGAATGACCAAAACTGCCTGGGAAAATCACAGCTAGAATGCACCAGTGAACTGAGGAGGGCAAGATTTTGGACATGGTATCTGGGGAGATCAATCCCTGAAGAAGGATATCATACTTGTTAAAGTAAAGGAGCAGTGAAAGTATAAAGAGGAAATCCTTCAATGAGATGGACTGACACCACAGCTCAAACACAGCAACAATTATGAGGAGCACAGGCGGTGTTTTGTTCTGTTGTGCATAGGGTCACTATGAGGTGGAACCAACTGGATGGCACATAACAACCACAAAACACAATGCATACACAACACACTGCACACGCTCACAGATTCACACACCTCACACTCCAAGCCTGGATATAGTCTGGCTGCCACTGGCTAAAATATACACAGTCTACACCAAGTGTAGGAGCTCTGGTAGTGTAGTGGTTTCGGAAAGGGCTGCGAACCGCAAGGTCAGCAGTTCGAAACTACCAGCTGCTCCACGGGAGAAAGATGAGGCTTTCTGCTCCTGTAAAGATGTACAGCCTCAGAAACCCTGTGCAGGGTCGCTATGGGTCTGAACAGACTCAACGGCACTTAACAACACCACCACCACCAAGTGTATACAGACTCAGAGCACACTTCCTACAGAAACTGTTACTCCTTAAAACACACACACTCACAGAATACAGCACACCTCATAGCGTGTGCTGGGTCCACCTGTCACTCCCAAAACCACACACAGCCTGCACACACTCACAGAACACACCACAGAGAGTATGTGTGCTGTCCGCCTGTACTCCTACATCACACACACACACAGCCTACACACACTCACAGAACAACCAGAGACAGTATGTGCGCTGTCCGCCTGTACTCCTACATCACACACACAGCCTGCACACACTCACAGAACACACCACACAGACAGTATGTGCGCTGTCCGCCTGTCACTCCTACATCACACACACACAGCCTACACACACTCACAGAACACACCACACAAACACAGCCTGCACACACTCACAGAACACACCACACAAACAGCCTGCACACACTCACAGAACACACCACACAAACAGTATGCGCGCTGTCCGCCAGTCACTCCTACGTCACACACACACAGCCTGCACACACTCACAGAACACACCACACAAACACAGCCTGCACACTCACAGAACACACCACACAGACATTATGTGCGCTGTCCAC